GAGCATTCTTTACAAGGTAAATCATAAGGACAGTACTCCCTGACATCCTCAGGCTGATAGAACTGCTATTACCATTTAACATACTGAGATGAAGTATATTATAGTGGGTAGAGAAGCACAGATTCAAGACCCAATAATCTTGAGTAACTCACAGATTCACATTTTAACATTGTTTGTAATGAGTATCATCTGTAGTCCAAGGAACACACAGATAGAATGTTATTACTAGAAAAGAGGATTCTTTTTTTTTTTTTTTTGCATTCCCACCAACAGTGTGGGAGGGAGAAAAGAGGATTCTAAAACATAAGAAATGTGCAGTGAGAGACCAATTTACTAAGATTTTGTAGGTGCTAAAGAGAGATAGCATCTGAAAATTCTCTCAGGACTTTGCCATGTAAATTATTGTGGTAAAGATCAATAGGTACTCTTTTACCATATTCTTGAACTTATCTCGGGCCACTTGCTCTCTTTTCATTCTTTGGAAACGTAGCATTTTAGAAGTGTCCAATCCATTTTGCATGCTACATCCAGAATCATTTTTCTAAAATATAAATCTAATCATGTCATTTTTCTGTTTAACACTTTCCAATTGCATATGGAATAAATCCAAAATTCCTCAGCATATCATATAGGGTCCCCATAATCAGTACTCTATTTCATCAATTTTTATTACCATCATCAGTGCTATTACCCTAGTCCATTCACTCCAATATCTTTATCTGTCATCCTACACTTTATTAGTATCCTACTTAAAAGTTAGATGGTCATGCAGTTGCACACTTCTGTGTCATCCTTATGCTACGTTCTAAACCTCCAGTGCTTTTTCCTCATCCTCCTATGGGGCTGGTACTGTCTTATCCTTATGTTTATGACCTCAGTGCATAAAACTGTGTCTGTCATATAACTGTTTTCATTAGACATGTGTTGAATGAATGACTTAACTTATCTTAAGGTCTCACAGAAAAGTGGTCAAAATTTCCTGACAACCAACTCATCCACTTTACATGCTTCACAGCTCAAAAACATTAAAGCAAAGTTGCTAAGTCTCATAGATTAATATTATTGAATGTTTCCCAAAAGTAAGTCTACTCTTGCCTTCCCTTTTTGTTCTAAACATGGTATTTTTCACAAGCCCACATTTACTGGGGTTTAACTTTACTGACACCATTATTTATCTATATAATATTTCTGGATGATTTGTCCTTGTTTTGTGCTCCTTTCACACTTCTTAGTTCAATTCAGATGGACACTATAGCGGAACAATATCAGATAGGATAGAATGAAGTATGACAGACATCATCCTGTAGTTGAGCTTAAAAGGCAGTAACCTTGGAAACACCAGTGGCCAATATCCAGTATTGGATGGCACTATGAAAAACTCAATATTTCTTCTAAAAATACCTTGCCACTATTTTTAGACTGTATAAGAAATGTCAAATGTACTGCTTTCATATTTATCTCCCCTAGTACTACAATGACACACACAGCAATACATGTCAAGAACTTTTAGCAACATTTTCTAGCATCATTCGTACTTCCTCAGAAGGTAACATCCCACTATATAATCTATTACAAGGGAATAGAATTTGGGAATAATTATTGGCAAAAGTAGTATCTTTTTGCTATGTCCTCTCTTCAAGAATTAAAGAGTTAGTATAAAGTGATGGAAAGGAGGGATAAAGGAGAGGGAACTTAAAGAGATTGAATGTAACATGTTCTTTATGTATTTTTAAATTTTTAAAATATTAAATGCTACATATACTTAAAAAGAATAGTTACACATACTGTGTACTCAGTACTGGATTTTGTGTCAGGTATGTTATGTATATCATCTTTAGTGCTCGTCATAACACTAAAGCAGAAATTAATGTGCCAGAACTGGGATGTGAACCTACATCTATGTTATCTACAGACAGCTCTTACAGCAGGAGCACTGCACTGAAAGTTTCCCAGGTCACACAGGCAGTGTGTGGTGGAGCTAGGACTTAAACCCTTATCTGTCTTGACTGCAAAGCCTGTGCTGTCTATATACTATACTACACTGTCTCTGAGCAATGAAAGGAAATATTCTTCTTAGTCATAATATATACTCAACATAGAAGGCTTACTTGACTTCTTATGTAATTCCTCAATTGTTTTTGCTAACAAGGAGATCTATATGATTGATATCTACCTTAATAATTTATAGAAAGAGCCAAATGGGGTGATTGCTGCATTTATACCACCAATAGGAAAGCCTGTCATGATAGAATGGAAAAGTGAAAAAAAGCATAATAATGATGATGACAACATTAATAAAAATAATCACTTACATCGTTTTGCTTTGTGCCAGTACTGCTCTAGGTTGTTTAGATATATTTATTTAACACAACAACCTATGAGGTAGGTACTATTATCATTCTCATGTAATCAGAGTTAAGGAAACAAGGAGGTTAGGTCATGACCCTAAGGTCACACAGCTATAACTGGCAGAGCCAGGATCTGAAACCCAGGTGATCTGGTACCACAGTCCATGCTCTTAACAACTAGAGCTACTGAGCGTCTCTTTGTAGAAAGAAACAACTAGAAAGGACAGCTAAAAAAAAAAATGCAACCCTATTTTGTTCATAATGTTACCAACTGGGTGGTGTTTCCATTGTGTTACTGTCAATAGATGTTCTGAAGCAATCTGCTTCAGCAAAGAATTTAGTTAAATTTGCTGTTTGCTTATGCTTTTAAACTCAGTTGAATGGGGATTTCAGTAAAGTACAACATATTTAGTGAGTTCAGATCAATGTTTGATCCTATCCTGTCTTTATCTACAAATTTTGTCTCAAGAACTAAAGTGAAATTAGCCAATCCTTTTTCTGTAGACTTAAAAAGATTGTTTCTTTTAAATATGTTTCAAGCTTATGTCACATAACTTTTGCTTAGAAAAGGCACGTTCAGTGTGTTTGTGTGTATTAATCTGGATTCACTTCTTAGGACTTCCCATGATCACTTCCAGTTCCTTCAAGCATCAAGTACAGTCAGGAAGCTCAACATCTTTTTAGATCTACTTAGGAAACACATCCCAAATAAATGTCCTTTGATTAAAAATAAAACATGGGTATACTTTAGGGCAAGGTCTATGTTTAGACCCCTTCTGTTTTTTTTAAGTCATATTTTTATTATAATTTCTTTCTTCCCCAACAGGAATTATATACAGTAACCAAGCAAATGATGAGCCAGAATAATGGCACTAAGGATCAAGGCAATTCACATCAATAGAAGGCATCCTATTTTCAAAGTAGGTAGAGTTTACCTTTTCAACGAGTCAGTCCTAACAAATGTATTCTTACTTTCTGATTTGAGAAGTAATAATTTTATTTTAATGGACAAGCAGAGTTACTGTTAATATGCCTATACAATCTGACAACAGATTCTTTCATCAGTATTTAATGGAGCATTTATGTATGAAATTGGAAAGGCATTAAATTTGCTTGATTTCAAAATGCACAATTAGCATTTCTGATTTTATTTTAGAACTGACCCTAATTAATCATCCTCTGTTTAAGTTGGGAATGAGAGCAAAACATCGCAGGGTACAGACAGTGTTCCTAGTTTGTGAAACCAGCTTCTTTATTACTATTCAATGCCAAAAGAAAAAAAAAAAACAGATAATTTGATTTTCAAGAGGAATCTCCCAGAAACAAATAATATAAGAACTGAACTATTATTTGTTCATATAAAAAAATAACAAGTTTGATAAGTTAGATGACGGTGATACTTTGAATTAGGGAGAAAGAAGGAAGGAGAAATTTTAAATAAATCCAAGCATTTTTGTTATTATGCCAAGCATTTTTGTTATTATTTTCCCAAAAGGATGAGGATTTTCAACAACAGACAGTGAAGTACCAAATATAGATCATCAACTAAAGATAAAAGTCAAGGGAGGTAGCAGTTTTCTTATTTCTCTTGAGAGTGCTTAATAAATATGTAATCTTAAGGTACCCTTTATTTTGAGGATTTATTTATTTTTTAATCGCTTTTTAAAATTTAAATTCAATTAATTAACATATAATGTATTATTAGTTTCAAGAGAGAGGTCAGTGATTCACCAGTCTTATATAATACCCAGTGCTCATTACATCACACGCCCTCCATTCTTTTGTTCTTTGTTTTTTAGGCAAATTTATCTCTTGGATAACTTTAAGTGCATTTATTATCAGCAGTCACTTGTGCCTGCCTAAAACTATGAACAACAATAAACTCAGCAGAAGGGCTGGAACCAATGAAATGCTGTTTGAAGAAAGTAGAATTTTTCTACCTGAAAAAACATTTTGGTTTCTGCAAAAATATAGTTTAGTTTTTTAGTTCCACAGATTGTTATATCTTAGGTAATCACATTACTTTCATCTTTGCAACCACAGCAGCAAAGCTTAGACTGTAGTTGTATTTCCTATTTCCACACTTAGCTTTTAACACCTAGATTTACAAACTCTTCACTTGTGAATATAATATATAGCTTAACTTACTATCCCGCACTGTATGACATGGAATTTCCTAGGACTGTTATGTGCCCTCCCAAGGGCACAGCATTTCCTTTCCTCAAACTGTCAAATGGTTAGTAAGCAGCTATGGATAGGAGAGAGCAAAGTTCCATGTGGATTACATCTTTGTGAAAATATAGATTCTTAAACACCTAACCAAGTAGCCTATTGACTCTATCAGCTTAAGATAAACAGGCCTGTCCCAAGATTGAAGGCAAATATGTTACTGCCCCCAGTTCTTTTACCCTTTTGGTGGCATCACTGACTTGAAAGTAAACCACAGCCATCTAGTATGACCCAAGTTTGTACCTACAATGCTGGAACAGCAGATGTGGCAGTATATGAGCGAGAGAGAATCCAGAGAAAGAAGTCAAGGCTCAAGAAGAGATTTTGAAATCTTGGATGATTATTTTTGCAAATTGCTATAAGACTGCCTCTTTATCTTATAATTACATTTCATTTAGTGATTCTATTTATTTATATCTGTACCTGGTAAATCAGAGAAGAGAAGAATGCACTCATTAAAGCCATTAGCCAAAAGCCGGTCCCGTAGCTGCTGGAGAATTGCTACTCCAATACAGAATGGGAAAGAAGAATTCCCAAGGAGTAAGGTATCCCAGAGGTGGAAAATTTTGTGCAGTGGAAATACATCTGTAAAATAACAAAATATAAATATATTAATTAAAATAAACAAAATAAATTAAAACAATAACAAACTATTTTACTAGACATATGACAAATACCTTATGGTCAAAACTGTTGAAGAACAAATACTACCAAACTGTTTTTATAAAATGTTTATTTGGTTTTATAAAATTTTTATAAACACTATTTTTGGTTTTGGCTTCATAAAATGTTTACAGAACTGTTTTCATACAATATTTATTGCTTCCTAAGGCATCTTTAAAATTTGATAATCAGATTGGTCAAATAGATGACATTTTCTAACCTCCATCATCAATCCTGGTATAGTTGTTTCATTATATTTTTTCCTAGAATTTTCTTGTTACACTGTTCTCATAAATTTATTTACCTAGATGAAATTTAGTCCTGTTTTAGGTTGAGTATTGTTACATTTTTATTATGCATTCTAAATAATTGCTTTATTAAGTTCCCATAAAAATTTTATCCCATTTTTTGCAACTTTAGTTTTTACACTTAATGATATTGTGGATATCCTTCCAGGCCAATGCATACAGATCTACTCTAAATATAGTATTCCATTTGTCATTTGTACCCATTTAAGCAGAATGTTCACCATATTAATACCTGTAATCGATTAAACTATTATATATCCACATAATCTATTTCTAGAGGAATTAGAAAATAGCAAAAGTATTAGTTATTAGAGGATCTCTAAAAATTGAGTCTCACTTGGTTTGTAAAAGTTGCCTTCCAAAAAACTCTATGTAAGTACTATAGTTAATGTTAATTTCTTTTTCATTAGAGGGCAGAGATTGTATGAATGTCATGACATGTAAGACAGGCATCCTATACATCACCATGCAACACTCATCCTATGCAATACTCTTTTTGATATTCATCAGTCAAAACAATTCAAATTTCTCCCTACCCAACTCTATTACATTAGAATTACATAAGGATATTTATGTAATTATATCTGTTTAATATCACTGTAACTATAATATACTGAGGAAGAATGGAGCTGTCCTTTTACTAATACGATATTGAAAGAAAAGGGAAAATGATACTTACGAGTAAACATGGTGAGAAACCAAGGGATGGCATAGAGCTATGGGTGGAAGAGGAAAGGGGTTCCAGGGATGGATAAAGAAGAAATAAAATATAATTACAATGATTACTAATAAACTGAATGTAAAAAATATTCGATGCTTTGGTCTACTCCACTGATTAAAATAAAGTGAATGTCAATAATTATAATTATTACCACAAATACTCTTTTAAATAATATTATCTCTTACAAATGCTGCAGATGATGCTCTTGCCAAGGATTATTCCACAGAATGTCTTCATTTCATCAAAGAAAATACTCAAGACGATGTCTAACCTAAACACAATATTAGCAAGCCAATTCCAAGGGTATACTTTCAGATTTTTACAAAAATATTTCTGGGATTTTAATGGTCCTTATCAGTATGGAATTACCTTTAGTATTTTTGGAGAATTGATAAGATGGTATTTGAAAAATGTCCAAAATGTCTCATAAAAAGGTACTATGAAGCATATGCTTTCTATTACCACCCTCTAAATTAATAGGAAACTTCATAACAGAATAAAAGTAATGAGATCCTGAAATGAAATGGGTCTTCAGCTGAATGACAAATTTATTTTCCTAAGTTTACTGTCTAGGAATGAAAATAAATACACACACACACACAGACACACACAGACACACACACACACACTTGTACACATACTTTCAATTAATTTTTTGACATTTTAAAAGTGAGAAATCATTCCTAATTTCTAAAAGTAGAGTAAAATCTCCTTTGTCAGTAGCAGGTATCAAAAATCAATAATAATTTATAGAAAAACCTGAAAAAGCTCTAATTTTATTTCATTTTGGGTATCAATGCAGTCTACCATTAGACAAAGATTTCTGTACTACCTTTAGGGTTTAAATACTCTTTCAGCATTTATCAATTATGAATTTATGAGTTGCACATGTCTTTGCATAGCACACTACTGAGTATTTATGCCATCAAAATGCTGGTCAAGAACCCTAGGTATAATTATACAGTACCTTAAAATCTAAGTACTGTATGTGAAATAAAGCTCATTGCTCTCCACAAGATCATTTATATACATTGACACATAGTTCTTTCAAGTGACATTATAAAAGGGAAAACTGAAAAGTACATAGGTATGTGACTTTACTGTAAAGAGTATGGATTGTAGAAAACAATAAAATATAACAAAATCCAAACTCTTCTGCTTAATTTAAGTTTAAAAATAGTAAATATATGTTTCATCACTATTTTTTAGTTTTCCTTTCTTTAAAGGACATGACATAAATTATATTACAATACCTCTACCCTCCTGATCAAAGCCAATTATTTGCCATTTAGGAATCTTAACTGAATTACTTCAGTAACAAGCTAACAATCTGTTTTCCCACAGAGTGAAGAGGGCATTGTATGAGGAAACTACACAAAGTAGGGAAGGAATCACTTCAAAAGATCAGAGGGAAAACTTGCCAGGCTCACACAAAGGCAGGAATAGTTCATCTTACCATCAGTCAGAATAAAAAAACAAACTAATAAACAAACAAAAAACCTATAATAAACAAATAATTGGGTAGAGCACTCAAAAGAGTATTGCCTTAGTAATATTAGCAAAATTATGCTTCCAAATTATGCTGCTGTGGTCTTACTTAATAAACCTTAGAAGCAGGCTTTGAAAGGATCAAATTGTTTCTTTTTTTTTCAAAGATTTTTATTTATTTATTTGAGAGAGAGAATAAGAGAGAGAGAGAGAGCGATCATGAGAGGCAGTAGGGTCAGAGGGAGAAGCAGACTCCCTGTTGAGCAGGGAGCCTGATGGGGGACTCGATGACTCCAGGATCATGACCTGAGTTGAAGGCAGTCGCTTAACCAACTGAGCCACCCAGGCGCCCCTGAAAGGATCAAATTGTTTCAATGTTAGTTAGTTACATCCCAAAATAAAGCTCAAGAATATTTATAAGAATATAAAAATATCCAATATTCAACAAGGTAAAATTCATAATGTCTGGAATCTAATAAAAAAAAATACCAGTAGTAAAAAGTAGCAGAAAAAAGTGATCCATAATGAGGAGAAAAATAATTCAATCAAAAGACACACAGAACTGACATGTTTGTAATACCAGGCAATGATGTTAAGATACTTTTTATAACTGTATTTCATATGTACAAAAAGCTAAGGAGGTTCATGTTAAGTAGAGACATGGCAGATGCAAAAAAAAAAAAAACACCAAAAAAATCAAACTTTTAGAGATGAAAAGTAGGATGTTTGAAATAAAAAAATATACTGGATGGGATTTAAGAGCAGATCAGACACTGCAGGTGAAAAAATTAGTGAACTTGAAAACACTGAAATAGAAAGTACCCAAAATGAAACAAAGGAAAAGGACAAAAACAAACAAACAAAAAACCAAAAAACAGCCCTGAGCATCCGTGAGCAACTTCAATCAGCTAAATATATATGTTATTAGAGATACGAAATGAGAGAGAGAAAATATGAAAGGGGACAGAAAAAATATTTGAAGAAATAATAGCTTGAACATTTTCCAAATTTGGTGAAAACTAAAAACTAATAGGATCCAATAATCTTAAGTTGCCCAAACACAAAACCCATGAAGAAAACCACACTAAGTCACATCATATTCAAATTCCTCAAAATCAGTGGTAAAGAGAAAAATCTTATACAGCATAGCTAGGGAAACACACACACACACACACACACACACACACACATTATGTAAGAGCATCAATGAGAAGATTCTTCTCAAAAAATGTTTTGTCAGTGCCCAATAAATGACAGTGTAGTAACATTTTAAAGTATTAAAAAAAATCTATGTAGAATTGTATGCTCAGCAAAAATATCTTTTGAAGACAAAAGGTAAAATAAAGACTCTTTCACACACATGGAAACTGAAAAAATTCGTCACAAGCAGTCCTATACTACAAGAAATACTGAAGAAGTCTTCCAGGCAGAAAGGAAATGATACCAGATGGAAATCTAGATCTACACAGAATGAAGAGACATACAGGATTGTAAATGTGTATGTGGTTGAATATAAGACTTTTATTTTTAAAAAATCTTTAAAAATAGTAATTTCTTTAAAGCAAAAATAGTAATTTATTGTGGGGTTTATAACATGTAGAAATAAAATTTAGGACAACTATAACACAAATATTGGGAGGGGAAAATGGAAGTATATATTATAAAGTATTTGTACTATCTGTGAAGTGGTATAATATAACTTGAAAGCAAATGGTGGTAAGTTAAAGAATTATAATATAAACCAGAATTTCTTCATCACTATTCACATTTTAGGTTAGATAACTTTTGGTTGGGAATGTCCTTTGCATTTTCAGATTATTGCAGCAATCCAGCCTCCACCCACTAGATGCCAGTAGTATTCACCCAGTTTTGTCAAAAATGTCTTTAGACATTGCCAAAAACCCCTGAGAGGCAAAACTGCCTGTTTGAAGACCACTGTATAAATTCTAAGGAAATCAATAAGAAAACACAACAGAGTCATAGCTAACATGTCAACAAAGGAGAGAAAATGAAATCACAGGAAAAAAATCCAATGAATTAAAAGAAGACAGATAAAAAGGAAAAGGAAAACAAAGAATTGATGAGACAAAGAGAATAAAAAGAGCAAATGGAGATTTAAAGGCAACCATATCAATAATCACCAAAAAAGTAAATGGTTCTTGTGATGGTTGATTTTATGTTCAACTTGACTGATATGGGGTGTCCAGTTCTTAGTTAAACACTATTCTGTTTGTGTCTTTGAGGGTGTTTCTGGATAAGATCAACATGTGAATCAGTAGACTTAATAAAGCAGATTGTTCTCCCTATGTGAGTGGGCCTTATGCAATTTGCTGGAGGTCTAAACAGAACAGAAGTAATACTTCTATTAGTAATATTAACAGAAGACAGAGTAAGGGGGAATTCACTCTCTGCCTGATGGATAGGATACAGCAGTGAACAAAACATAGGTCCAGCCTGTAAGGAGCTTACAGTTCATTAAGGGCAGTAGATGTTCATTACATATTCTCTCAATTCATTCCATTTAGGTTCTTGCCTCCACCTCACCACCAAAACTGCTCTTACCTTCATCATAAAAGATTTCCCTGTTGCTAAATCTAATAGCCAATTCTCCTTCTCAATTCTTTAGCAATCATCAGGGTTTACCATAGTTAACTACTCTTACCTTCTCAACCCACCTCTCCAATTTGACTTCCAAGATACCACATTCATCTACTTTTCTTGACCCTTCTGATTGTTGCTCCATCTCCTTTGTTGGTTCTTCTTCATCTCCCTGACTTAAATATTGGCATCCCTTATTTTCAGTCCTTGGACTTTTCCTCTTCTATTTTTCTCCAAATGATTATATACAGTGTGAGGACTCCCCCATTTTTATAGCTCTATCCCAGACCTCTCCCCTGAAATCCAAACTACATGTCTAAATGCCAGCTTGACATTTCCACTTGTATGTCTAACAGATATACATAACATGTCCCAAACTAGCTCCTGAGACTACTTCAAAAATTTGTGCTCCAAGTATAGTCTTCCAAATCTTAGTAAAGAGCAACTCTGTTCTAATTGCTCAGGTAAAAAATTCTGGAATCATTCTTAACTTCTCTTTCTCCTACATTGTACATTTGCCATTAGCAATCCTGCTGCCTCTCCCTTCAAAATTATTCCAGAATGTAAAAACTGGTTACCACCCCTACCACTAATTTCCTGATTCAAGACACTCTTGCCTAGATTATTATAATAGTGCATGACTAACCTTTTTAAATTCCATCTTTGTTCTTCCTTGGGTTTCTCTTACCATAGCAGCCAGAATGATCTTGTTAAAATGTTTAGATCAGAACATATCATTCCTCTGGTCAACAGTATCCAGTGGCTTTCTAACACTGTAAAAGCTGAAGTCTTAACTATGAAATCTGGTTTGATGTAAAATCTGGTCCTATTTGACTCTCATCTCCTTGTTCATTGAGCTCCAGTCACATCGGTCTCCTGGCTGCTCTTTCAACATCCCTGGCATGCTTA